TGGGGAAGAGAGATTGACCTCAACTCCAAATACATGATGGGCAGGGAGGAATTTATAGCCAAGGACAAGAGTGGAAGTCAGTGAATGGACAATTACTAAGGGGAAACATTAGGGATAAGGGGGAATGCTAACTAAACTGACCTAGCAGAATTCTTGCTGAAGGCTGGCCAGATTGGATATCACCTGGGGGATAAGGAAGGATGAGGAAGCAGATCAGATAAGAGAGCTATGTACCCTGAGGTTGGGGGCTCCTTCTAAACTGACTTAGCGGGATCTAAAACTGGATTTTACAAGGAAATGCACAGATGGGCCTAGGAGAAGATTCAGGTGCCTATGTTTAGTTTGGCCAAGCAAAAAATCTTTGTCAGTGTCTTACTATGTTTTTTGTTGTTGTTGTTCAGATAGAGTGGGAGGGGGAGAGAGAGAGAGAGGGAAACATCGATGTGAAGGGGACACATCGAGTGGCTGCCACCCACACAACCAACCAGGGCTGGGGACAAACTGCAACCGAGGTACGTGCCCTTAGCGGGAACTGAACCCGGGTCTCTCTGGACCGCAGGCCGACGCTCTAACCGCTGAGCCAAACCGCCAGGGCTTACTATGTTTTTTTTCTGGATCTTTTCCGTTTTCTCAGTTTTCTTTGTATCCTTTTTACATTGATCCTTTGTTTGGGGGACATTTCCAAGGATTCCACTTGAGAGATCTATCACTGGATCTTCGCACATTTTTTTCTGATACAAATCTATCTATATCCTTAAAAATACCAACTCTATATTAAGAGAAACAAATTTCTTGCTACCATTTTTATTATAATTATTTAGTGTTCCTCTAGCAGACTAAAATGAGATGATTTAGAAGCTTGAAACCAGAGGCATGCATACATTTTTCTTTCTTTCTTTCTTTTTAGAGAGAGAGGAACAGAGGGAGAGAGACATAGAAACATCGATGAGAAAGAACATTGGTCGCCTTCAGCATGCCCCCTGACGGGGGATTTGGCCCCCAACTTGGGCATGTTCCCTGACCAGGAATTGAACCAGCAACCTCTTGGTGCATGGGTTGATGCTCAACCACTGAGCCACACCTGCCAGGCATGCATACATTGTTTAAAAAGAAACAAAAGAGCCCTGGCTGGTTTGGCTCAGCACTTGGAGCATCGGCCTGCGGTCCAGAGAGACCCGGCTTTGGTTCCTACTGAGGGCATATACCTCGGTTGTAGTTTGTCCCCATTGGTTGTGCAGGTGGCAGCCACTCGATGTGCCCCTTTCACTTCGATGTTTCTCTCTCTCTCTCTCCTTCTCTCTCCCTCCCACTCTATCTGAACAAAAAATGGAAAAATGTCCTCAGGTGAGGATAAAAAGAAAACAAAACAAAAGAAACAGCTTTCTCATTTTCAGTTTTTTGTAAAATGGATACTTTATTTATTTTTTTGACATTTTTTTCCATTTTTTGTTCAGATAGAGTGGGAAGGAGAGAGAGAGAAACATCGATGTGAAAGGGACACATCAAGTGGTTGCCACCCACACGACCCAACCAGGACCGGGGACAAACTGCAACCGAAGTACGTGCCCTTAGCGGGAACCGAACCCGGGTCTCTCTGGACCGCACGCCAATGCTCTAACCGCTGAGCCAAACCGGCCAGGGCTGGATACTTTATTAATAAAAATAATTAAAAGTAATAAATTGTCAGAAATGCAATATGACTTTTTCTGAATGGCAAAAATATAAATTCATTTTAAATTGTGTGTATCGCTGCTGTCATGGATGTTACCAAGACTAAATATTCTTAGAATGGTGGATTGAATACATAATCAAGACCTGGGAAGTTTTTAAAATAGTTTAATATAAAATAATACACATTCATTCAGAATTTTAAAATATTGGAAAGTGATAGGGTAAAATTTAAAACACCCATATAAAAAATAAAATAAAATAAAAAAATAAAAACAAAAAAAAACAAAAAAGCCCTGGCCGGTTTGGCTCAGCCGTTGGAGCGTCGGCCTGCGGTACAGAGAGAACCGGGTTCGGTTCCCGCTAAGGGCACATACCTCGGTTGCAGTTTGTCCCCGGCCCTGGTTGGTCGTGCGGGTAGCAGCCACTCGATGTGTCCCTTCATGTAGATGTTTCTCTCTCTCTCTCTCTTCCTCTCTCTCCCTCTTGCTCTATCTGAACAAAAAATGGAAAAATGTCCTCGAGTGAGGATTAAAAAAAATAAATAAAAATAAAACACCCATAACACCATCATCATGTGATGTTAACGTTTGGTGGTGTTTTCCATTGCATGGATCCTGGTGTGTGTACACATACACGTTGCATGTTCATGCTTTTTTCTTTTTTACAAAATTAGATTAGTGTTTGTTTATTATTGTTATCAGGACCACCCTCCTATATTATTAATATTCCTAGAAACATGATTTTATTAATGACTATATGATAGTAGCTCATTGTATAGCACTCCCTACGGTTTAATAGTTAGGTTGTTGTGAGCATATTTACCTAATTCTAACTGTTGAGTATAAGATCTGCTATTAACTTGGAAGCTTTTTTGAAAAAATTATGCATTCAGCATGCTTTTGGAGTGAAAGATATATCCTAATTTCAGAAACATTTAAAAGGCAAAATGTGTCTTAGAATAAAGGAAACACAGAATTTGTTACTGCATATATGCTATGATGAACATCTGTAAACCTAAATGTTAGATTGCATCTGTGATTAAGGTGTATATAGAAGGGGCAGGTGATGTAGTAGACTCTGCCAATAAAGTGGCTGACAGACCCTTTGAGAGTTTATAGTAAAGAGAACTTTATAGAAATTGAGGAGAGTAAGAATAACACACTGCAATAGGTACTGCATTTGGGGAGTGGAAGAGGGTTAGCTAATTTAAATTTGGAAGAATCATAGAACACTTTCTGTGTGCCATCAAAGCTATCTGAAAGATGAATAGAAGTCAGAACACTTGATGGAAAAAGGCTCAAATGTGAGAGACCTTATCCCACTGAAAACCCTGAGGCTGAAAACACTGAAAAGAGCTGGAGTTTTAAGGTAGAAGGAGTGATCTGCTGTAATAAATGTAGCAGAAGGTTTGAGTAAGCTCAGAATTGAATGAGTAATAGCTATGCATATGGCAGGTAGGGGTATCAATGGCTTCATCAAGAGCATTTTCATGGGAAGAAGTTGATTTGAGATTAACTAAAGATCCAAAGGTAAATAAGTAGAGGCCTTACATCTAAACTTTTTTTTTTATCCTCACCCGAGGACATTTTTCCATTTTTTGTTCAGATAGAGTGGGGCGGGGGAGAGGAGAGAGAGAGAGAAACATGGACGTGAAAGGGACGCATTGAGTGGCTGCCACCCGCACGACCAACCAGGGCCAGGGACAAACTGCAACCGAGGTATGTGCCTTTAACTGAACTCGGGTCTCTCTGGACCGCAAACCGATGCTCTAACCGCTGAGCCAAACCGGCCAGGACCACACCGCAGTTTGTCCCTGACACTGGTTGGTCGTGCAGGTGGCAGCCACTCGATGTGTCCCTTTCATGTCGATGTTTCTCTCTCTCTCTCTCTCTTCCTCTCTCCCCCCCTCCCCACTCTATCTGAACAAAAAAATGGAAAAATGTCATCAGGTGAGGATATAAAAATTAAGCCCTGGCCGGTTTGGCTCAGCGGTTAGAGCGTCAGCCTGCGGTCTGGAGAGACCCGGGTTCGGTTCCCGCTAAGGGCACGTACTTCGGTTGCAGTTTATCCCCGGCCCTGGTTGGTCGTGCGGGTGGCAGCCACTCGATGTGTTCCTTTCACGTCGATGTTTCTCTCTCTCTCTCTGTTCCTCTCTCTCCCTCCCACTCTACCTGAACAAAAAATGGAGAAATGTCCTCGGGTGAGGATAAAAAAATAAAAAATAAATAAATAAATAAATAAATAAATAAATAAATAAATAAATAAAAATAAAAAAAGAATTTCCACATGTGCCTGACTGGTGTGGCTCAGTGATTGAGCATCAACCCATGCACCATGAGGTCGCTGGTTCGATTCCTGATCAGGACACATGCCCAGGTTGTGGGCTAAATCCCCAGTGGGGGCATGCAGGGGATGGCCAGTCAGTGTTCTTTCTCATTGATGTTTCTATCTCTTTCTCCCTCTCCTTTCCTCTCTCTCTCAAAAATCAATAGAACAAAAAAATTTTCTTTAAGAATTTTCACGAGAAAAGTGAAAAAAGAGATTTAAACGTGACTATAGAGGCTCAAAGAGAGAGACACCAACCAGCATACTTGTAAGTTGAAAGGAAATATTCAGTTGGGAGAGAAAAATTGGAGAGATGGCAAAGGAGGTAACAAATGGAGCAGGTTGAAGAAGGCAAGAGAGAAATGGTTAGGTGGAAGAAATAGTTTTGAGTCATGGCCAGTGTATTTATACTTTGGGATTTGAAGAAAGATGAGGTGTCTGTGTGTGCATCATTAAATAGAGGGCAAGAGGAAGGAGGCTAGGTAGGTTGTCAGTTGAGTGGAGGTACTTCAGAGTAAAGTGAAAGATATGGGTTAGTGTTTTAGGGGAGTTGGGGAGACTTGATAAAGGGCAGGTAACGCGATTCATGGGCAGTCATGAGTGAAATCAAGAACTAACTACATGGGTTTGTGAGTAAGGACGTGAGGGGCAGTATTATTCATCCAGGGTTTGGGGTTATGTTGGATGGGCAAGATAGAAAGGAGAGGATCGTTACAGAGGAGATAACTATACATTTTTTAACCCAAGCTTTAAAAAAGTATTGATTGTGGTGATGATTACATATCTCAGTCATTATTCTAAACACCATTAATTACATGCTTTAAAAAGGTGATTGTATGGTATTTAAATGATATCTCAATAAAGCTGTTATATATTTATAAAAGAAAAAAGTATTGTGAGTCTTTTGTTTTGAACAGTTCATTCTTTCTATTTTAAAGGTAAGTGATTGCCTTTTTTTATGTTCTGGTTTGTTTGTTTTCACCTACACATTCTGTTTTTTTCAGTCGCTGGGTAAGTCGGAGCGCCACCACACAGCGCAGGAAAGACCGCCTTCGCCAGCATTCAGAGCACGTCGCACTGGACAATGACTTGCGGGAGGTATGTGGGCCGGCTTCCTGGGTCACCTTGATCAGGGGCCACCAGCGAGGCTCACGCAGCCCAGCAGGTGTCGTGTAGCGTCTTTCCCATTCTTTTTAAAAACGGTTCAGTTATTTTAAAAATAGTAATCCTTTTGTACTGACTTATAGCAGAAACACTGCTTTTTCCATTTTTGTTAATTCAGTACATCTAAAAAAGACTGTAAAACAAGTCTCCCTATGTATCACAATTACAAGGCCAAGTTTAAGATAAATTTTTGGTCAGTATGTCTGTCTCCTTTAGGGAAAAAAATTTACAAGAAACATAAACATTATTTCAAGTATAATTTAAACTTAGTAAGTAAAGACGTATTTTCCTGTTCTTTGTCTTGCTGATACCACTTTAAAAGTCTGTTTTAAGTTATTTTAAAATTAAGATCTTATGTTTTATTTGTACTACTTAAAAATAAAACCATAATTATATATCTGAACAATTTTAAATAAGTTGATTATTTCTATGATCAAAAGAAAAATGTAATCAGAAGATCTGTTAACTATTTTCTAAACTCAAATGTGTAGAACTAAAGCAGAAAACATCATTCCAGAAGCATATTGCTTTTTGTTGGTGTGTTCATGCCTATATGATTTTAAACATTGTCTTAAGAACTGAGGCAGCCTATCTAGTGCTTTTTTTTGTGCTACCATATTTTCTCTCTCCTTTTTCTTTTGCTGTGACTTTATATGCATGCTTGTTTTGCTTGTCTCTTTCTCCCATGTCCTTTTTTTGTTGCTTTTCTGTCTTTGGCATTCTCCATCCCTTAGCCTTCCGGGGAACTTTTGGTCTGTCAGAACTCCATGGCATTCTGGGAGTGGGATCAGGGCCCGCCTCCTCCTGCACGACCTCCCAAAAAATCCTTCTCTGAGTGCTGCCTGGTATGTTCTTAGCCTGAAAGTGCTTTGCAGATGTCCCCAAACCTTGTCTTTGGTGTTCCTTGAATCATCCACGTGCGTGAGTGCACATAGCTCTGGCATGCCTCACATCACCTATGATGTGAACTCACAGCCTCTCCATTTTGCATTTCACTGCCTGTTGTGTTTGGTGCTTTTTTGCCATGGTGTGTGCTAACTCAGATAATTCTGTACCCTAATCAGTGTGATTAGGAAGGAAGGGTGGAGAACAGGTTTAGCAAATTATTTTTCTTCCAAAGGGAAATTTATTAAATATTCAGACTCCTTTTATGTAAGAATTATGCAGAAGTGATTTATTTTCCGTCAGCTTTTGGGTTAGGTTTTATCTTCACAGCATTTTAATTTAAATTTACCCTTTCTGGTCTTTATTTTATGTGGTCAGAAAATCAGGTCATCAACGTAGAATTTTAGTGCTAAGAAGAATCTTTGAGGCCATCTTGTCTAACTGGACACGATTTAACAGTAGTCCAAGAGATGTGCCCAAAGTTAGATGGACACACAAAGGCAGGGCTGGGCCTGCAGCCCAGGACTCCTGACTCCAGGCCAGTCCTCTTCCCAGTAACCCTGCATACCTGGTGGCACTAAACAGCTACTTCTGAGGGCAAGAGAACTATTGGTGGTATGTTGTTCCCATTATGATATTAGCATAAATTTACCTGACCTTACCATGGTCTTCTCTTCACAAACTCAGTGCCAGTTAGAAGAACAGGGTGTTTATTAGAAAATTCAGGGAACGCCTGTACTACAGAGCAGTTGGTTTGGTGATTATTAATTAGCAGGATATATTTTCATGGGTAGTTCTTAGTGGTTTATTGCTTTTGGCTTTGACAGAAGTGAAGAAGATTATGTTAGAAATCTCAGAAGAAATCTAAGGTGACTTCCCACTGCAGTGAAGGGGGTTTTATTATAAAAATATTTCTCGTGAAAGGTTTCTCATCCTCCTCCATTTCATTTTAAAATATATCTTTTCCTCCAGCTGACCCAAAGAAAATTACGTTTTTCTCATCGCTTGATTTTGCAGTATAGCGAGGCCACCTCACTCCTTGCTGTGAGGAAGGTCTTGTGCCACCCTTGGTACCCTTTCTGTGTATGTCCATGATGCTCATTTTGTGGCTCCAGCAGAGATGCTCAGGAGACTTTCCCATGGCCCTATGGAGCTAGTTCACTGTTGGCTAATAACTGTCCCGCCCCACGGATATAGTGCTGGGTGCTCAGTATTTATGGCCACTCAAAGGACAGACCCATTCCAACTTTTCATTTATATAATAGAACATAAACTTTAAATGGTGCTTACTTTTTAATCCAGTTATTGACTTTTTCTTTCTACCCTCTTGCCTGACTGTACTCCTCACTTCTAGGCAGTATTTCTTGCTAAGCCAAGTTTGACATTTAACTTTTCTTGAGAACTAAGTCTTATGGTGTGGTTCTCTCTGCATTTGCACAAGTCCTGGAGACAGATGAATTGAGTAGGGGGAGAAACAGAACCATTTATTTATTTATTTATTTATTTAATTAATTTTATTTTATTTATTTCCTCCCTCCCTCCCTCACCTGAGGACATTTTTGCATTTATCTTCAGACAGAGCAGGAGGGAGAGAGGGAGGGAGAGAGAGAAACATTGATGTGAGAGGGACACATCGACTGGTTGCCACCTATACAACCCCAACTGGGGCCAGGGACAATTGCAACCCAGGTATGTGCCCGGGACTCTCTGGTCTGCGGGCGATGCTCCAACCACTGAGCAAAACTGGCCAGGGCAGAAACAGAACCTTTTTAACATTCACCAGTTAACATTTGTTTTTACCAGCCTTTAATTTCCGATTTGTAATATTCCAAATAACATTAGTACAACCTGAAATAATAGGAATTGCAAATGTAATTCTCACATAGGATTCCTGCCTCTATCTCAGATTATTTTTTCTTACATTTCATTTCCTATTTTTATTTATTTGGAAACTAACCTTCAGAATATTTCAGTAGACCTGTTACACTTCGTTTCCTAGTAGTGATAGTTGTCTTTCATTTTCAATTTTCTCTCTTCATTTGAACGTCTAAAAAAGATTTTAAGCAGAAAGGTATACACAAGTTTATGGGAACTTGGAAGGAGCAGGTAAATTAATCAGTTGAATCCCTCCCTAATCAGTGGGATTTTTTTTTTAAAGTTGTACCAGCCCGGCGGGTGTGGCTCAGTGGCTTGAGCATTATCCCATGGACTGAGAGGTCCCAGTTCAATTCCCAGTCAGGGCACAGGCCCAGGTTGCAGGATTGATCCCCAGTAGGGGGTGTGCAGGAGGTAGCTGATCAATATTTCTCTCTCACATCAATGTTTCTGTCTCTGTCTCCCTTCCTCTCTTTCTAAAAAACCAGTAAAAACACATTTTTTTAAAAAGTTGTACCAGATTTAGCAGATTATTTTTCTTCAAGAGGGGAACTATATTAAATATATAAACTCCCTTTTATGTAAAGAATGCAAAGAATTTTACACAACTTCACTTAAAATTTCAAATTCTCCCCTTAAGATAGTGAAATAGATTTCACATATGTGTCCGTGGGAGGATGCACTGGCTAGCAATCTCTCTCTCTCTCTCTCTCTTCAGCAAACTGCTAGTTTTACTATATAATTTAGAATAGTTATTCTCTAAATATGGTCCTAAGACACTTGGATTTTTGGGGATTCTGTCATTTGGTCCTGACACAAACATAAGGTACCTGAATGAGCTTTTGCAGGTGGCATAGAAACAGCAGGCATCCTGCACAAATTATAGGTGGTGATTTTTTTCCCCTGGAAATTCACTAACCAAAGCTCAAGCACAGTGGACTGGTTTCTCTGCTACTCTCTGAGCCATCACAGTAACACGATGTTGTGGAAGAAGGCAAAGGAGGGATGTAATACACCTGTCACAAGCGAGGCCTCCTGCATGTGGAGCATGTCACTTTTCAGAGTGATCTCATAGCCTTTCTGTGAGGCGGGTGGGCCTAGATGGGCCTGTTTTATGTCCATTTTATGAATAAGCAGCTACACCTTAGGTCATAAAATTAGTTGCCAGCAGATTCTAGAGCTCCTAATTTTACCGTTGTGACTTGATTTGCGGAAAGGGTTGGGTTGGGAGCAATGCCCAGGAGGCCAGTATGTTGAGTCTCTTGATCTGCTGAGGTAGGTGTGGAGGAAACCAGTGATCTGAAAATCACTGGGTTTCTGCAGAACCTCGAATTTGTAACCCAGACACCAAATTTTTTCATTCCAGCTATGCTTCTGACTAATCACAACCGTGGGGCTTCCCAATAAAAAGACTAAACTTGATGAAATTCCATCTCATTTTGAATGAGTTTTAACCTGGTGGGATTTTTGTCACCCTCGTATTCACAGAGGCTAACAGCTGGGGAGAGTATGGATGTCCTCTGCCCTTTGGCACATAAAACTTGAATCGCTGTTGCACATGTACACTTATGTTGTTCCTGCACTTGTTTATGTAAGGTTAAATACATCAGAAGAATATCTGATGTTTATGCATTAAAAATGCTCTTTGATTTTTAGAAATATATGCAAGAGGCACGGAGTTTAGGAAAAAACATGAGGCAACCCAAATTGTCAGACCTCTCTCCTGCGGTGATTGCACAAACCAACTGGAAATTTGTCGAAGGCTTGTTAAAGGAATGTAGAATGAAGGTATGTATTTTTCATGGATGTGAGGACACAGTGTGCATTCATGTTTAGTCCACGTGTGAGGCTAAGATGGGTAGAGGCAACCCCTGTTTGAGCCTGTAGCTTTCCTGGAAGAAAACTCATACTGGGACCTACACCTCATGTGCTCTTTCCTGGGGTCATGAGCCTTCATGGGTTCTCCATTGCCCACAGAATCAGTGACATGGGAGTCCTGCACAGTTGGCACTTCAGCCATTGCTGTCTTCCTCTCCGACACGAACAGATCTTAAGCCAGTCAGAAGTTGAGTCAGGGATCTTGTCATCTAATGCAAAGGCAACACATTGAGTGTGTGTGTGTGTGCATGCATCTGTGTGGAACCTCATCCGTGCCCATACATGTGTGAGTATACCCAGAAGGAAGAAGATCTTAGCTGGGTTGTGGGTTTGTGTATATTACACACTAGTCTCCTCTCTGATATCTGTGTTTATCAGAGGTAGCAAAACAAATTGACAAACCTCAGAACATCATGTTAGCCAGTAATTTTATTTGACAGTCTTTTCTTGAGGACCTTCATCTGTATACTCAATAAATATCCTATTTTTAGCATCCACTGACAGTGCTGAGTCATACAGACAAGGTCCCTGCCTAAAGGAACTAGATTCTCTCTCACTTCACATTTTATAAGAGCAGCTAAAGCGGCTATAAATTAACTTACCTGAAACGGATTTCCATTTCCTTTCCATTTTTTTGGTGCATACTCGTGAGCAGACAAATAAAAGAGAAAAGGAGGAAGAAAAAAGAGATGCAGTGCACTCACAGTTAGAGAGTTCTGAAAAAAAAAAAAAAGATCTGCTGGTTTGTATTGTGGTTTCTGCCTAGTGCTCACAACTAAGTGCAAGTATCTTCAGTGTGCTGAGATGTGGGGCAGTGGGGCCAGTTGTGGTGGCAAAATGGGGTTTTAGATTTGGACTGTCCATTTTCTAGGTCTGGTGTAATTCCTCAGTATTAGTCAAGTTAGTAATCTGAAAATTGTCGTGCATAAACATTTTCATTGGGATACTTTAAAATAGTATCATGTCTCTTTAGTGACCCTTTCTTTCTCAGACAAAATAGTAAAAGTATACATAATATTACTCCAGTTAGTTGGCCACAGAGATTAAGACACTTTTTCCAAGGTGACAAAAATTTTTCAATTAGAAATATAAAGCAGGGAACCCAGGTCTCCTGGTCCAGTGATGGACTTGTTGGGTCTTGGCCTCACTGCTGGGATAACACTTGTGACCACACATGATGTTTTCAGACAAAACGCATGTTGGTGGAAAAGATGGGCCACGAAGCAGTAGAACTGGGCCATGGAGAAGCAAACATCACGGGCCTGGAGGAGAACACCTTGATTGCCAGCCTCTGTGATCTGCTGGAGAGGATATGGAGCCACGGCTTGCAAGTCAAGCAGGTAACAGTCTCAGGAGGCCCTGTGGACAGAGCCGGTTAGGAGCCCTGTTAGGAAATGTAACAAGGAGGAAAGGATATCATAAAAATTAAATGGTATGTTTCTTTATTACAGGATGACTAGAAATGCACCACAGGCATTTTAATTCCAAAAAAAGAAAACAACCCACGATTAGGAGGTGGCTTGGGGCTCTTTCCTGGTAAACAGGAAAGGATGAAGCAGCACGTTCCCTGTAGAGGCTGCCTCCCCTGTGGATCCCAAAGGGTCTGCTTTCGTCACTATCCAGCAAACAAGTCTGGTAGCCAGAACTAACAGTTCTTTATCATTTTACGTTATCTAGTTTTCAGGATGGAAAAAGTCAAATGGTTTCTTTGCTTTTGTCTCGCTAGTCTCCCTTTCTGGTTTTTTTCTGTTGGGTGCATATTTCTTTCTTCTTTCTCTTTTCTCTTTCTCCTCTTGCCTCAGTTTTCTTCCCTTGTTGCCATTCCATATATTCAAACATACTTTGCATATAGATGTTCACAAAACATCCTATACTGGTAGAGCCTTTTAATTTCATGGTTACTGGTGTGGCTAGTATAGACAGCCCCAAATTGTGCAACTAAGTCAGAATTCTGCGTGCCTCCTTCTGGCTTCTTGCTTAGTAGCTGTCGTTTCCCAAGCTCTTGTCAGTCTTCTCAGTGAGGCAAAACATGACCCTCATTACACAGAGAATGACACACTCAGAATGTCACACAGGTAGGAATGGATGAGCTTGATCACCTAAACGAAATGGCCATTTCAACATGAATGGTTTTGATGAGAAATTATTTTTTGTTGAATTACTTTTTATAAAATGAAAAAATTGTATATACCTTGTACTTTCAGGGGAAGTCGGCTTTGTGGTCACATTTAATTCAGTTTCAGGACAGAGAAGAGAAACAAGAGCACCTTGCAGAATCACCAGGTAAGAGTTCATTGGTTTGATTGTTTCTACAGAAGTGGCAGCATTGGACCATGTGAAGAATCAGTACTGTACAGCTTTGTCTCTGCTTCTCTCTCTCCCCAGCTAAAACTTAACCATCTTGTCAGTAGTGGGGTAAAGTAAAAGGAGCAACATTGTTTACTAGCTGTAAGACCTTTCTGATCTTCAGCTTCCTCATTCACAAGACAGAAAAAAACAATAGCTAGGCCAAGACTGTAATGCTGATCAAATAAGATAATGTAGGAATTGTAAAGGATCATGCAAGTACAGCAGGTTCTTGGATAATGTCATTTTATCAACATTTTTTCATTATAATGTTGATGAAGAAAAAAAATCAATTCCTGGCTATGGCCACTGTCTTTATGGAGTTTTTTCCAGGAACTTTGGTATTCTCTCACATCCCACAGATGTGCATGTCTAATTGTCTTAGTGTGAGTAAGTATGGTTGTGGGTATGAGTGTGCCCTGTGATAGAGAGGCGTCCTGTCCCGGGTGGGTTCCCACCTGACCCCCTGTTCTGCCAGGATAGACTCCAGCCACTTGTGACCCTGAACTAGAACAAGCAGAGTAGAAAATCACCTTACTTGTTTTTCTTAATCTTCGTGAAATGCTCATATTTATTTCAGTGTTTACTATTGAAAGTGCTGTGGGTCTGTATTTAGAAGTTTGGTGATATTTCTGTGACCAGAAATATGCTGTGGGTGCTTGACTCTTTATAGCTGATGATAAAATGGGTTTTGTCATCATTTTGCTAAATGTTGCAGTTTCTAAGAACTTACCAATATTAAGTGAGGATTTACTGTATACCTTACTCTCACTAGTTTTAGGTTGAAGTATATACTGATTTTTTCCTGAAAGAAAAGTATTATAACCATCATTAATTATTCGGGGGAAAAACATGCATATATGTCTCTCCAAAGTCTTTAGGAGTCAGATTTCTTCTTCAGTTTATAACAGGACATCACATGTTAGAAGTGTCATGCTTTAGCTAATTAGAGTTACGTTGGGTTCCTAGACATTCTACCTACTGGGTATTTTTCACAATAAGGAGCTTGATTTTCTTTATGTAAAATAACCATCTGTTTCACAAAAAAAGTAGTGGAAAGCCTAGTAGAGAGAAAATGTTTTAAACTACATTTGGAAAATTTTTCTAAAATTAGGGACTTTTAAACATATAGAAGTGTAAAAAAAAATTTTTTTTAACTTGTTAAGTCAACCACCAGCTCAAGAAAGCATTGCAAATAAGATTGAAACACTCTACTTTCATTCCCCTCACTGCTGCTAGAGCACAGTACTACCCTGAATGTGGTGCTTACTGTTGGAAACCTAGTTTTTAAATTATCCAATGAAACATCTAGGAATATGAATTTGATACTGTGTTGCCCTGGAGCCCCTGTGAACAGGATGTTATGTTTCTAATATCTCAAAATGTAACTATATTTGTAAAGACAAGACTGAAGTCAAGTTTAAAAGCATTTTCTAGTGTCTATCTCCTTTGCCCCTTTTTCTGTTGAAAAAGTTAAAATGCACTGACATTTGCTCTAAAACTGTCTCTAACACTTGCCTGTGCTCATAGAAAATGTAAACTTTCAGCCCATAAGACCATAACCCTAATTAGAAAAAAATAAATTCCTAGGGGGAAAAATAGCCATTTTTAGGATGAGATGTTGGAAAATCAAGTTCAGTTAAGGCAGGGAGGAAGAAGCCTTTGCCTCTTGTGCCACAAGGGTTCCCGAGACTGTCCAGCTGTTAGAGTAAGCAGCTACTGGGCACCACCAGGAGCTTTGTGGCTTTGGCTGGTCAAATGTTAGGTGATTGAGCTGGAGACCAGAGGCCCACCTGTTTTCAGTGACCTTCAGTCAACCTGTAGTGGGACCAACAACTCTGAGGTCAAGGCTAAGAAATACCAAACGTGTCAAAGCCCAGGGCACTCACTGTGCTGCACTATCAGTTGAAGGGCTAATGGAACACAAATAAACATAAGCTAAATATTTTACTGACCCTTAAGAGGATAAATATGAGTCATGCAGCTTTTAAAATAAAATTATTATCTGTTTAGAGAAATGGATTTTATAAATATTGCTCTAACACTCTTGATGATTCAGCCCATGAAGTTAGGATTTAAAAACATGACAGTGTGAAGTATATATATAAATACATCAGTTTAAAAATAAAATATTTCATTATTGAGAAACAATGTGTCCTAATTAAACAGAAATGAGCTATTCATTGACTCTTCTGCTTTTATATCTGGGTGGTTTGTTTTGTTTTTCAAAAAAGACTTTTAGTTTGCCAACTGTTAAGCTTCCAAATTAATAGCAGTAAACAGACTGCATTTTCATATTAAGGAGAGATCCTTCAAGTCCTTAGAAAGTCACAGTAGGTTTTATGCTCAATTAATATTTGACAAAGATGGCAAGAGCATACAGTGGAGTCAAGACAGCCTCTTCAATAAATGGTGTTGGGAAAATTAGACAGCTAGATGCAAAAAAATGAAGCTAGAACACCAATTTATACCATACATGAGAATAAAATCAAAATGGAGAAAAGATTTAAATGTGACCCATGATTCCATAAACATTCTGGAAGAAAATGCAGGCAGTAAAATTTTAGACATCACATGCAGCAGAATTTTCACTGATACAATGCCTAAGGCAATAGAAACAAAGGAAAAAATGACCACATGGGACTACCTAAAAAGCTTCTGCACAGCAAAAGAAACAACCGTCAAAATGCAAATGGACGCCCTGGCCGGTTTGGCTCAGCGGTTAGAGCGTTGGCCTGTGGTCCAGAGAGACCCGGGTTCGGTTCCTGCTAAGGGCGCATACCTCAGTTGCAGTTTGTCCCCGGCCCTGGTTGGGTCGTGCGGGTGGCAGCCACTCGATGTGTCCCTTTCACGTCGATGTTTCTCTCTCTCTCTGTTCCTCTCTCCCTCCCACTCTACCTGAACAAAAAATGGAAAAATATGCTCAGGTGAGGATAGAAAAAATGGAAAGGGACTCTTTGGCCGGTTTGGCTCAGTGGTTAGAGTGTTGGCCCACAGACCCAAGAGTCCCGGGTTAGGTTCCCGCTAGGGGCATGTACCTCGGTTGCAGTTTGTCCCCAAACCTGATTGGGGTTGTATGGGTGGCAACCACTCGATGTGTCTCTCTTGCATTAATGTTTCTCTCCCTCTTCCTCCCTCCCTCCCTCCCTCTCTATCTGAACATAATTGCAAAAATGTCCTCGGGTGAGGATAAAAAACAAACAAAACAAAAAAATGGAAAGGAAACCCCACTTGATGGGAGAGCATAACTGCCAATGATACATCAGATAAGGGGCTAATTTCCAAAATATATAGAGTGCTCATACATCTCCACAAAAGAAAGACAAAGAACCCAATTAAAAAATGGGCAGAGGACCTAAATAGACAGCTCTCTAAACAGGACATACACATGACCAAGAGACATTTGAAAAAGTGTTCAATGTCACTAATCATCAGAGATGCGAATTAAAATGACTATGAGGTATCACCTCACACCTGCCAGAATGGCTGCCATCAACAAATTATCAAATAACAAGTGTTGGCGAGGGTGTGGAGAAAAGGGGACTCTAGTACACTGCTGGTGGGAATGCAGACTGTTGCAGCCACTATGGAAACAACATGGTGTTTCCTCAAAAAATTAAAAATGGAACTGCCATTTGACCTGGTGATAACACTTCTAGGAATATATCCTAAGAAGCCAGGAAGAATATATGTACCCCTATGTTCATAGCAGCACTATTTACAATTGCTAAGATCTGGAAACAGCGCAAGTGTCCTTCAATAGATGAGTGGATAAAAAAGCAGTGGTACATATACACAATGGAGTACTATGCAGCTGTAAGAAAGAAAGATCTCTTATCCTGTGGGACGACATGGATTGACCTGGAGAGTATTATCCTAAGCGAAACAAGCCAATCAGGGAAAGACAAATATCACACGATCTCACTTATTTGTGGAGTATAATGAACAAAACAAGCTGAGGAACAAAATAGACCCAGAGACATGGAAAAGTGGAATGCAGACTGACAAACCTCAGAAGGGGTGGATGTGAGGGGAGGGAAGAAATAAACCACAGAACTTATACGCAAGTGTGCGTAAACAAGAACATAAACAATGATGCTGGAGATGGGGCAGGATTGGCAGGAGGATGTCAATGGGAGAAAAAAGGAGAAACATCTGTCACAAAAACAAACTATTTTAAAAAGTCACAGTAGATTTGAATATTGTTCTTATATTTTCTTTTATTCTCTACAAGTTATTTTAAAATTTTTATTGATTGATTTGAGAGAGAGAGGACAGGGAGAGAGAGAGAGAGAGAAACATAGATTTGTTGTTCCACTTATTTATTCATTCATTGGTTGATTCTTTTGATTCTTATATGTGCCCTGACCAGGGATTGAACTTGCAACCTGGGTATATTGGGATGATGCTCTAACCAACTGAGCTGCCCAGCCAGGGCTGAACACTTTTTTTTTTTTTTATCCTCACCCGAGGACATTTTTTTTTTCATTTTTTGTTCAGGTAGAGTGGGAGAGAGAGGAACAGAGAGAGAGAGAAACATTGACGTGAAAGGAACACATCGAGTGGCTGCCACCCGCACAACCGACCAGGGGCGGGGACAAACTGCAACCGAGGTACGCGCCCTTAGCGGGAACCGAACCCGGGTCTCTCAGGACCGCAGGCCGACGCTCTAACCGCTGAGCCAAACCAGCCAGGGCTGAACACTTTTCTTATTAACACTGAGCCAGAATGAGACTAGATGATAGATCATTATTATTCCTTCACAAACAGCCACTGAACAGAAGTCAGAGATATTTTAAGTGTTGCAGAAGAACGGAAAAGGTCTGTCTTAGCAAGAGAACCACAGCAGGCTAGACCATCTTAATTTTTTTAAATGGACTTTATATTTTAGAGCAGCTTTTTGTTCACAGCAGTAATAAGCAGATGATACAGAGACT